GCGCAACTTACCTCGCCATAGAACCAGACTCACTTGTTTTCTCAACTACTCGCCAACGGCAGGTCCAAGATCCGAGGGCTGCTTCCTGTAGTTGCGGCGAAGTCAGCTTATTTATGTAATATATGCTCCTACATGTGGCGTATCCGGGCACGGGGCTGATAGAGGCGGAGAAGTATCATAGAGAACAGCTACACATTAGTGGCTGGCTTCCCTTCTCCAGACTCTCTCATCTTGCTCGCCCTCGAACAACGAACAACTTTAATGGACCTCCCGTGTAGTGTTTTTGCAACGAACCCCTACCGACACTGCACACTCGCACATGGTAATTGAGGAGTCCGAAAATATGACTGCCATACTAGGCGTTGCCACCATCTAATATACGAAATAATTCCCATTCAACGACTTTCATTCTACACGGGCATTACGTATGCTATTTTTAGATTCAATTGCGGGATCAGGCGTACGGACAAGTTCAGCTCCTCAGCCCTGTGGATCGTTACACAGTAAGCCCTCCACTGGCCGGAGATTGAGATTGCGGGACTACCATTTGTTCTACACTACAATGTACTATAATAGACTCTTGGCGGGCCAACATGCGAATACGCATTGGCTCAAGTCACAATCCTACGTCTGCACTGACTATTCGAAGGCAATCAATGTTGATGGGACGTCGGATTACAACAGTGTATAACCTTTCTCAAATGTCTACACTCAACCACGATGAAACTGAATATTTGCATGTATCGTGTCCTTTCCACGTGCTTAGTTAATATATGACCTATTTGTATGAACTCATGAACGATTCGTTCACGAACTGAATAGGGCCGGCGTCGTGGATCTGACTGCCTGTGGCAGGCGTTGGGCCTTATGCCGACCAGCCTACTCCGTATGCACCGGTCCAAATAGGACCCATATGGTGTTGCACGATGTCAGCATTGAAGGATCTTCGGATTTCGTAGCAAACGGCCATGAAAGGCTTTATAAAGGCTACAGGGATCCAAACATTCCAACTAGTTCTTCGTCGAAGTGCTGGGAAAAAACAAGCCGGCTTCTGTTTCTTGCTTGCAAAGATCACATCCTCGAAACACGATGCACTCTATAATACTCCTCAGACGGGCGGCGCCTCTTGCCGCCGCTCTGATAACAACACTAGGTGCAGCGGCGGCCTCGGCTCAAAACGCTTCAACCGCGATCGTCGGCTGCGATGAGGTCGGCTGCCCGGTGAACGCGGACACCGCGACGAGCGAGTGCAAGCTGATAGACGAGACATTCAACGAGATCGGGCTGGCGCGGATACCAATCGGCGACGGTGACGATGACGGCGACGATGGGGACACAGACGGGCAGGACGCAGAGCTCGCCGGCATCTCGTGGGTCCAGGGCAACAGCGTGACGGACGTGGGCGGGAGCGACGACCGCTACCCGACGGAGCGGGTGCTGCGGCGGGACTGGTACTTCGGCACGCCGGCGGGCTTCGACCTGGGCGCGCAGAACACCCGCGCGTGCGCCGCCTTCTTCCACAAGTCGATGGCCGCGTTCCCCGAGGGCAACACCGAGACGGCCGCCGGCACGTGCGAGCAGGCCATGGCCCCGGAGTGCGTCAACGCCCTCGTGCAGAGGGCCCAGTCGCTGCAGTTCGACGCGGACGATAGCAGCGACGACCTGTGCGGCGCGCTGGAGCAGGACATCCTCAGCAACTTCGACGTCGAGTGTCGCGATGACGCGGGGTCGCCGTACTGGCGAAACGTGACCGTGCGCCGTGAGTGACAACTGCCAACTACACTAATGTCCCGCCTTCCCGTGGTTGTGGTCGTACACACCACGCAGGGGGATGAAGTAGCCGCGTAGAACAGAACTTGCTAACCCTTGCGTAGCAATCCTCGGCGGATCCGCACCGGCTGTGATCTTGTCCAGCGACAACATAACGTCGAACTGCTGGCCCATCACTCCCAAGGAGGATGATCTAGCCTTTATTGAGAGGCTGACAACCACTGTGAGCCTTCTCCTGTTCCGAGTTGCTGTTCATCTGCCGGTCGGCTTTATATGTTAACCATCCTTGTAATAGACGGACGACTTCGGCAGCGACGTGCTGCAAAACTTCTTCTACGGCGTCACTCCCATCCTGACTGCCTTCTACAGCGGCGAAGGCTCCCCCATCACGACGAACACCGCGCAGATGACTTGCCTCAAGACCATGGGTCCAAGTCCTGGATCTAATCAGACGGTTGATGAGGACGATGATGATGACGACGACGACGATGACGACAGTGCTGGTACCTTGGTCAGAGCATCAACAACAGCAGCCTTGTTCATTGCAGCTTCTGCCATCTTGGCCTCGATATCGTGAACGTGCGGCCTTATTTAATTCTGGGTTAGTTACGGTGTGGGAGCATGGCGTTCTTTAGAGGAACTTTGGCGTTGAGGTTGTTTGGGAGTTGTGATATCCAAACATGCTTCAGTATTCTGAAGTGTCTGCGGCGTTTATGGGATACACGAGTACTCATCCTTCGGATGATTCATAAGTCGATATTTAGACCACTGCATCCAATCGAATCTACATTTTCATGCAACAAACCGTGGCAACCTTGGAAATTTTGCTGGGTATAAGATAATCCTTACCATTACATCGTGAGGCCTTGGAAAAGACTCCGAATACTTGGCGGGAGTAACAGCGCTGGTGACAGCTCAGTATTCTCCCGGAAAGGGGGCTTCCATAAATGGTGATAATAATGATGATGCCGCCAGCTTGGGTTACAGTGGGTGTAGTTACCAAAATACTTATCGATAGTGAAGCTCCAGCACTCAAAATTCCAGCACTCAGACTCTCAGAAGCCTGCAATTAGGTATATGGATCCACTTAATGCTGCTACTGCGACTGCCGACTGCGCTGTAACTTGGCGCTGTAGGGCACCAACTGCACCAACTAGACAAAAAATTCCAGATGCATTGAAACGAGTAAAGCTTCCTCGTAAAGTTTGAGCTTGTCAGGAATTCGGAAGACTATCTTCATGTCCGACTATGTTCACATCACGATGGGTGTGCCGCCACTGTACGAGAAGATTGGCGCAGCCTATGAACCGCCAGCTCGTCCGTCTAGCTAGCACGGGTACGTACAACTACAATTCCTCCCACTCATCTTTCCCCTCTGCTTCTTCCTGCCCAGCTAACCTAGGGGCCCTTCCACGCACCACATTTTCAAGATGCCGCATCACCACCCGCATCGCTGACAGCTCTCCCCGCCGTCCTTCTCAAGCGCGCTCGGAATATCGCGGCCGAGCACACCAAGCTGACCGAGAAACTCGCAACCGACTTCGACCTGAAGACCGCAAAACGAGCCGGCGAGCTATCGCGCGTCGCAACGGCGCTGAAGGAATGGGAGACGGCGCAGTCCTCGCTCGGGGAGCTGACGGCGCTCCTGCACTCGAATGACCCCGAGCTGCGCGACCTCGCTAGGGAGGAGCACGCCTCGACGCAGAAGAACCTCGGCGTCCTCGCGACGGCGCTGTCGGCCTCCCTGACCCCGCGCGACCCCTTCGCCGACCTGCCGTGCATGATCGAGATCCGCCCGGGCCCCGGCGGGCTCGAGGGCCGCTACTTCGCCGACGCCCTGTTCCGCATGTACCGGCAGTACTGCGCGGAGGCGGGTCTGCGGTCCAAGATAGTGAAGTACGAGGTGACGGAGGGCAGCTCGACGACGAGCGGCGGCGCCGCCAGCGAGGCGCCGCTCCACGAGGCCGTGCTCGAGATCCTGGACGCCGGCGCCTACGACCGGTTCCGCGGCGAGGCCGGCATGCACCGGGTGCAGCGGATCCCGGCGACGGAGCGGCAGGGCCGCACGCACACGAGCGCGGTGGCGGTGTGGGTGCTGCCGTCGTTCCCCGAGACGGGCGGGGGCGGCGACGGCACGAACGGCGAGGCGGTGGACTTCAACGACCCGGAGAGCCTGTTCTACGTGGACCCGCGGGAGGTGCGGGAGGAGAAGATGCGGGCGAGCGGGGCGGGCGGGCAGCACGTGAACAAGACGGAGAGCGCGATCCGGCTGACGCACGTGCCGACGGGGATCCAGGTGTCGATGCAGGACTCGCGGTCGCAGCACCAGAACCGCGACGCGGCGTGGACGCTGCTGCGGTCGCGGCTGGGCCAGAAGCGGCGCGAGGAGCGCGAGGAGCAGGTCTGGCAGCTGCGCAACAGCGTCCTCAGCAAGGACCGCATCACCCGCTCCGACAAGATCCGCACCTACAACTACAGCCAGGACCGCTGCACCGACCACCGCTCCGCCCTCGACGTCCACAACCTCGCCGACGTGCTCGGCGGCGGGCCCACCCTCGGCCGCGTCATGGAGAGCGCCCGCGACTACCTCATCCGCAAGGAGATCGAGGCCCTGATCGCCGAGGAGGAGCTCATCGCCGCCGGTGGCAGCTTGACGGCGCCGGGCAAGGAGTCGAAGAAGTCGAAGAGGTGAAGCGGTGAAGCGGTGAAGCGCCGTGCTGTATATGATATACTCGTTATATGCGATATTTGTACTGGTATATTATACGAATAGAATAAATAGAATACAAATACCACAACCAACGCAATGTGCTAGTATAGCTGCCTACGTACCCTACAGAATCTGCTCCGAGTCACCCATTGAGTCTCCTAGATCTAGGTACATCCATCCATTCTCTCTAAAAGGAATTAGATACCTGTACTGAATAAAACCCTAAGGTAATATGCGCTGAAGAATTAATTATACTGCCTTGACTAAAATCAAGGTGTGCTTAGCGGGAAGGTGGTACGTCGAGAGGGCAAGTGCGAAGCACTGTGAGAGGGGGTTAGCTGGACTCTGAAGCTGTTGTATCGTAACCTCGAACAACAACAACCTTTATCTATCAAATCCATTTCCTTCAATTCTTGCTTCTCCGAAATAGGTGCACGTGGGGGTTTCGTAGGTGGTTGCGAATGTTGACTAATCTGTGAGCTGGCTATATGTCAACGGATAAGAACAAAATATTCCAACTGGCACGATGGCAGAGCGGTCTAATGCGCAAGACTCGAATTTCTAGCTCATCTAGCGTCGATATCTTGTTTCTTCGGAAGCGCAGGTTCAAATCCTGCTCGTGTCGATTTGTTTTTTCTTTTTGTTCCTTTTTCTCATGTTGCATCGTTTCTTATCTTTTCTGTGCCTTCATCTTAACGTTTGTTTCCCGATTTATCTACACAACATGAATTGCCCGTGTATGTTGGTTGGTATATAGCATACAAGTACAGCACTGGTTGACCTCTTGTTAGGTCTGTAATATCTACAACAGCGACAAGCCATAATATAGCATTGTCGACATTGGTAGATAAGGATGGGCATCTCATCGCCACGATCTTCGCACTCACGAGGCCCTCTTCTATTGGTTAACCCAATGTTCATGCTCACACTCATGACTGGTTCTCAGGTCCCTCCTGAGTGCTTGAACTCGTTGCTGCCGGTGGTATTCCCAGCCTAAGCGTCCACTCCCACCGGCCTCTCCACCAGTCTGACCACCGGCCTGGCCTCCTGGTTTCCGTCATCGATCTCCCCCCCAGCGCGTTCGATAAGACGAACTTCATCGCAGTACTCGCATTTACAGGCTTTCCATTGAGTACCACATCTATAGCAGAACTGGAAGCCGCACCGACAACTACAAATAATAATAAGCATTGCCCAAGAGAGGAGGTAATTAGCACTTCGTCGAGACTCACGTCATATGATTGCACCCCGTATGTAGTTCGATCATGCCCCAGCAGTTCGAGCAGCGTTGCCAGCCTTGCTCTATTGCCAACCGGAGAACTTCTTGCAGTTGGCCATCATTGGGACAATCGCCGCCGTGCGCCGGGCCTTTGCACGCAATGCAAGTCCGCGCATCGCATGCCTCGCAGGCAGCGACCAACTCCAGGCATTGTTCCTGCGGTATGAAACTGGCGCAGTGCTGGTTGTGGCAGTACGTTCTGTTGGGAGTAGAGAACTCCAGAGCTTTCTTCGGGTACTCGCGGGCCACCTCGCTATCGAGGAAGAGCCGGTTTTGGGCGAGGGGAATATGCTGGTTGCAGCATCGCGGAGGAAAGAGGGACTCGTCGAGCATGGCATCCTGGAACAGGTGCGTGAGACACCCTCGGCAGTATTCATGCCCACATGGGGCCTTGGCCAACTCAGCGGAATGCTTCGGGTCTCTACAGGCCTCGCAATGCCGCTTCTGAACTCCGGCTTCTTGCTGGCGAGATGTGGCCCAGTCCGAGCTCTCCGGGAGGTCGCCCGCGACTGTTGCCTCGTCGTCCAAGGGTGTACTGGCTTGGGAGGTTACTTGTAGCTGCGCCGTGTTCCCCTGGATACCTTCGGCCATACTTCGATCCGTGGCACATACCTTTGCATCCTTAAGCTCTTCCAGAAAGAGCTCCAAGGCGAGCTGCTGGTCGGTCTCGGTGCCCCCAGGCTGCTTCCCTTTGCCCATCGTGTTGGCCAATGCTTCCTCGGCGTCTTCTTGGAGCAACTGTATGATCAGCAATGCGTCCTCATCCTCCATCTGTGCAAAAACTGATACATCCATAGCTAGGGTCGATGCGTATGAACTGTGACTAGTACAATTGATGCAGCGTCCTTGAACACCAGTATTGGTAGGAGCGCGAATCTCAGTATTCCTACAAAAGGAGAGGTGGTAATTTCATATTGGCTATGGGAGGAGATAAGCATGAGCTCTATAAACCATAATTTCCTTCCTACCCCCGTTTGCCTCGGGCAGTCAGAATCTCGCAGCATGCTTGGCTCCTATATCAATGTTCTAGGATGCCATGCGCCCTGCCGGACGCCGTTTGTTATATCAGTGTAATTCCATACTAAGAGCAAAACCCAACGACCGCAACCCCCTTTGTATTTATACGGCACCCTCAGGTACATACATCAACAGTTACACAGTACTGTTTCAAGAACATGTTTCCCGGCCGGTAGCTTACTTCGTTTTGTCCGAGTAACCCATGGTGTTGAAGCCTGTCAAACATCCAGAAGTTGCACCCCCCGTACACCATCCCCTGCCCTTTCCCGCCCGAATGCATTTCAAACACTCGGAATTTCTTATTATATCTTCATGCCGTATAAAAGCGGGATGACTAACCTGCTGTCCTCTAGGTACGAAGAGCTGGCAGTTGATCAGTGCTACTGCTGATATCGATATGATCGGGAATGATCGATCATGCGGTACCTAGCTGCGTTTGCAATGACCTTTCATCGATAAGATCAACGGTAACGGCAGGCATACCCAGGATTCCAGGCGCCTGTGGCGCAACTATTTCCCTTTCTGACAAGTCAGCTCTGCCAGTTGAAATAGGTTTATCGGACCACGCGAGGGTGGTGAATATTGAATGATAAAGCTAGGTGAGACGAGATTCGATCCGGGCCGTTAGCAATGGCTAGACGAGTGAGAGTGAAACAGTGGGATGACATTAAGGAAAGGTTGAAGTCAAGCAAAAAGCAACAACCCGTCCGATCGATAGAGATCACGCGGCCAACCAATCACATCAGGGGCCTGGCTTTCCCATGTTCACCGACACCAAATCTCGGCTCTGCTCTTCAATCATGCACGCTTCCTGTCAAGCACGCGATAGGTTACATGTCACAATCTTACAGCCCTTTTCCAGTTTGGTCGTCTTATATACGCAGCTCCTACAGATAGTCGTGATTCCCTGGATCGGAGATCTGATCGTGGCGTTCAACTTGCACGCGGTTCCGATATCTCAGTCCAGACCGCTCCTTCATCACCCATGAACTTGCGTAGCCTCATGTGCTTGTGTAATTTTTTCACAACATTCCGATGGAGAAGATCATGCACCTTCCATTGGCTAAGACAACCATTGTGCTCCTTTCCCAGAAGCGAGATTGGCGTCTACCAAAACCTAAGCAACTCCTATATAAAGTTACAGTTGAGCCTTGCCATCGCCTTCTTCAGTCCGGCCTCACCATCATCTTAATCTTACACGATCCGCTTCAATAGCCTTCTAGTATCATGGATTTGCCACAGGAATTCATAGATAGCAACAAAGCTGGGGTGGTTCTCGGTCTCAGGAACGTTGCCGGGGTCCGGGACCGCCAAGATGTCGACCAGCTCCTCTGGCATGATCCCAATGCTTTCAATCTGTTCCTCTTAGCGCTTCAGGAGCTGAAGGATCCCTCTATGACAGCCGACATCATGGGCTACTTCGAGATCGCTGGTACGTATTAAGAAGGATATAGACCTTACGAGACCCCGGCTGAAAAAACTTTCTACCTAGGGATCCATGGAATGCCTCGAAGATCGTGGGATAACGTTGGGCATAAGCAAAACCTCGACAGTACGCAAGATGCTGGTTACTGCGCCCATAGTACGGAGACCTTCCCAACCTGGCATCGCCCCTATCTTGCCATGCTCGAGGTATGTTGCTGCTTCAAATTATCTGCCAGGAAGCTCATGCCTAGCAGCAAAGTCTCTTTGTGAGGATGCATGAGATTGCCAAGCGCTTCGACGAACCCTACAAATCCGAGTACCAAGAGGCTGCCCAGAGATTCAGATTGCCGTTTTGGGACTACTACCGCCCCCGCGGTGGTGAGGTTGCGTTCCCGGGTATTGTAAAAGACAGCTTGACCAGTTTCCCATATGACTACTCTTGTCCCAAGGTCTTCACCTCGGCGTCCATTATGGTGCGCATGCATCCTGACAACAAATTGGTCAAGCTTGAGAAAAACCCGTTGCATTCCTATGAGTTTCAGGAGGGAATCATGGGGACGGATTGGGATATTCTGAGACTCGATGCAAGTCACAGTGCAACTGCAGTGGAGAGGCGTGATACTTACAAGTCTCCAGTCCGACCTCTTCCCACGTGACAAAACGGCCCGCTACCCTCGCTTCGACCCGAAATGGAATACGGGAGAAGAGACGATGAATCTTGTCCTCAACAGTCTCCGCATGGACTCAAATCGTCTAGCACTTAACATGGTTGGGGACAAAGTATATGGTCAGTACGAGTCCTTCGCAACGAATAAGGGGGGCGCAAACTCAAACTGGCCAAATGACCCTTCCGCGACCGAGATCATGAAAGTCTGGCCTTCAGGCTCGCTCGAGTCCCTTCACGGCTTGTACCACGGTCTCATTGGCGGTAGTTCCATTCCTCGGTCCAAGGGCCAGGGGGGCCACATGAGTCGGGTTGCCACAGCGGCGTTTGACCCGGTCTTTTGGATGCACCACGGTCAGGTCGATCGTCTCTTCGCCATATGGCAAGCTGTGCACGACAATACCCCGGGCAACTGGTTCTCCGAATCATCCAAGGCCGAGGGGCCATTGTACCCAGCCCGCAAGCAGCCAGGAAACACCGATGCGGACTTTTGGAACTCCAATGATTCCAGGAATACCATTGCCTTTGGGTACACGTACCCGGAGACGGCCGGGACGCCAGAGCAGGTACTGGCCAAGTTCAATGCCATGTACGAATGGTCCATCCCCCTGAACACCAATCTCACTTCTGTGGTTGCGCCTAAGGAGATGGAGCCGATCGACGTTCTCAAGACGCAATTCTTCCAGTTCGAGGGAGAGGCCGGACCAGAGGCAGCCATATTGAGCGAGATTACAGCCCTTGGCACGGTCCCGGAACTGGAAAATAGGGTACAGGCGATGGCTCTGTCACCACCAGGGCAAGCGCAAACAGTTGTACCCGACAAGGAGTTCTCGAGAGAATGGTTCATCGACGACAAGATCCAGAGGTATATTCATAGTATGACCTTCCGCAAAAAGAATTCTAGTTAACTCTACTATGAAATAGGCTTGCTCTCAACGGGGATTTCACGATCTTCTACTTCATCGGCACAGAACACCGACCCGGCGCCCCTAGCTCGGACAGCGACTTTGCGCTCGCGCCGACTCTAGCGGGCATGAACCACGTGTTCGCAGCGCCGACGCAGCTGTGCGACAACTGCGGCCGGCAGGACGAGCAGGGGCTCATCGTGACCAACACCGTGGCCATCACATCCGTCCTGCTGGACTTCATTGAGGTCGGCGAGCTGGGCGGTCTCGAGAGGGAAGATGTGATCCCGTTCCTGCAGAAGCGCTTGAAGTGGAGGATCTTGACGGTATGTTGC